TTTTTGTTTTTGTTGTTTAGGTTGACATTTCGACACAGCTTCTTAAAATGAGACGTAATGTGGAAAAATCAAGACGAGATTTACTTGAATTAAAGCAGCGAGTCTTCTTCAATAAATCATCCATCTCATTCAATTCACTTGATGTATCATCATCAACATCAAATACTGTGTCGATGCGAAATGACAAGCCTCCACGCCAACTATTTAATAAATATGAAAAAGAGCTTCAATGGAAAAAAACTAGATTCAATAGCTCTATATCTATTAGAAGCTGAATCAACTTATTTTCGATATCAATACCAATTTGATGCTGAATTAGCTAAACTCTGGCGAAATCATCGAAATCTTGTGAAAGATCAATGCATGACTACAGGACTCATTACTTTATTGGAAAAACGTTTTAATAATATTGTCAATCGATGGAGAGATATTTATAATTATCGTACTGATTACTATCTAAAAAATTCTTACGATGAATTGAAGTCTCTTAAACATAATGAAACGGAACAAAGTATGAAAATTACTACACCTTCATGTTCATTGATGATCGATACAATGAATCCATTCAATGAGAGACAATTACAATTACTAAGTCGTGGGCCAACTTATGTACCACCATGTTTAATGTATATCTTATTTGCAGATCAATCTATCAATGATATTGCCAAGAAACAATTTGCTCCATTGAAACATCAATTGATGATTCTGTTTCAGAACTATAAAATTAATTTACCTTTACGAATGGAAATTCAAGATAAATTATTTAATAAATTTGAAAATCTTTTTGCACATCCAATACCGGCACAACTTTTTCAACGTGCTGTCTACGAAAAACATTTAATTCAATCGATTCGATATACTTTACAGAAAAATAATCTTATTTTACGACGAACAGCCGATAATATGAATACCTTCTATATTGGAAATAGATCAGAATTTGAAGCCAAAGCTGATCAATATTTAATAAGATCTGAAAATTATGATGTTCTCATTGATATCAATAACCAAAACAATGAAAAGCCTTTACATACAGCTTTAAAAAATATGATGGAATCCATGAATAGTTTATTAGAAAAACTGAAAGCACATAATGCAATCAAAGATGAATTATACAAACAATTAGTGGCTGATCCAACGAAAACCAAATTACCTTATTTATATTTTTTAGCAGATATTTCGAATGTAAGACAAGATTGCAATTTTTTTTTCTTTATGTCTCTTCATTCACTGATATTTTCTGTTTTTGTTCCACAAAAGAAAGTGGTCTATCTCTTGTGCCCGTTATTTCAGCTCAATATAGTGCTACATGGAAAATTGCTAAATATTTAAATCGAGTATTACGACCATTTGTCGACGATAAATTACGATCAACGACATTCGATGATGATACTGATTTTATTCGAAAATTCCATCAATATGCTACAACAGAACGTCGTCTTCACACAACAACTGTCTTTTGTACTATTAAAATAACTAATTTTTATTCATTGGATGAACATCAAAATATGATCTATGTGATTGCTGAATTCTTACGTGATAATTTAGTCACTAACAAACTTGGCTCTTTCTCAATTATGACAATTCGTAATCTATTATATTTATTTCTTCATAACAATATCTTTTATTACAAGGAGAAAATCTATACATTTGTAAAAGGGAGTTCAAATACAATGCCCTTAACAGAAACATTGTCAAATGTTTATCTCTCTGTATGGGAAAAGAAAATATTGAAAGAAATGAATACAACTATAGAATTCTTTGGAAGGTAATCTATCAACATAGTTTTGATTAGTTTCAAATTGAAATATCTATTGTATTGAATTGAATGTTTTAGACATAAGAATCAACTATTTTTTACATGGAATAAATCAAGTCCATTAGAACTTGAAACATGTATAGAAGATCTTCGAGAAAAACATAGGAATGTACGTTTTCAAAAATTAATTGGTACCAGTGTCCACTATCTCAATATTTATCTTGAAAATCGACAAGGTCACTTGTATAGTCGAATCCATTATGATCCCAATAGTCAACGTTATACATTACCGTATGTTACGAGTCATGCAAAATCTGCTTATAGTGATTGGCTTCGAACAGCGTTAATTCGTGCTGTATGTGTTTGTACATCAATCGATGATTTTCAACAAGAAAGAATGTATCTTGAATTAACTTTTTTAACCAGTGGTTATTCCTTATTATTTGTTGAAACCAATGTTAAAAATTTTTTCAATTATTTCCACGCACTACGAACGAAATATTCAAGAAATCAAACTGCATATGACCAATTCCGACGACAATGCTTTGATTTTGTTGAACAGCGGCATCAACGTTCACTAGAACTTCAAAAATTCGATGATAATGGCAGCTTATTTTCGTTCAACTACATGTATGACTATGGACCAAGATGTCGGTTCAATCGAGAATTTCATCAACTTTGGTCGGCCTATTTCCAATATCATCCCATTCTCTCGAACCAAAATTCCAAAGTCATACTATCAAACAAAAATTTGTATTCATTAAATAGTTTATTAGCTACAGAAGCATCATCTCCAACAATTCATCAATGATAATACTATTGTCTATGAAAAACTGATACTTTTTCTTTTTTTGTAGAACTAATCTTTCTTTTTGTCGTTGTCTTTTGTAGATGATTTTGTTTGTGTAATCATCGTTCTTGTGACATAATACTTTTCTTTATGT